TTGAATAAAAATTTATAATCGATTTTTAAATTAATTTCATAGTTCCGACTTGCTCATTTTCCTGATTACTCTGTCTTGAAAGAAACAATAAATGAAGTCATTTTCTCTCCAGTGACTTTATTTCTAATTTTCTTTTTTTTATCTTTTATCTTCAACTGTCAAACAGAAATATTTTGCATTTTGCAGTCAAAGCTTTTCCCCAAACCTATGTGACTGTGATAACTGTCCTTGACATTAAGTGGTTAAGTATTAAGTGTCTGCACTAAATCACCTCTTTAACATTTGATATTGAGAGGTTAAAGACCCAGGTTAATAGGTGATTGAATGCATGGGTACAGGGTGTTTCAAAAACTAAATAGTTTCAATTTTCCCAGGACAGGATTCTTAGGTGAGGTTCATAAATTAGGGAGAGCATGTATAAAACTAATGAAGAAACAAACTTATGATAGAAGAAACTAACAGCCATGTGTTTAAGATTAAAAAAAAATTAACAATCAAACTAATAAATATAAGGCTATCACCCATATCTGTAGCCAACAAGTTCAAAGAAGGTTCTTTAAAAAAAAAAAATAGTGTCCCTCTTTGCTCTTTTAGTTGAACCAAATTGAGAAATTGCATAGGACTTAGTTCAAATTAAGATTCAGAGCAGACCTTTTCCATTCAAAAGGGTGCTACAGTCAAACCTTTTTATTGATCAGAAACCCCCCAACCCCCTGTGGGCCTGTCATCAATACATATATGGTTGGGAAGTTACTTGAAGTTTCTATAAATGGAAGAGAACCTGCATTACACACACTGAAGAAAATTCCTGGAGATTAAAGAAACTTTGATCCTATGATACCGTGACTTTTAATCCCAACACACAGTTGTGTTGTAACTTGTAACATAATTAACTGCAGCAGATCAAAAGAAGAAAGAACTTGGAACAAGTTGGGCCAATGTTTAAATGTCATGAGAGTTATGGTAGTAGTACACGTCAATAAATTAAATGTGACCTAAAAGTGAATGCAAAAAGTGTGATGGAATTATATCTGTATAATACTGTTTTAAGAAGAAATATGCAAAATCTTTTCTTTCAACTTGCCAAAGGCAAACTGAAAAGTGAATGTATGTGTTTAGGTTTTCCAGTATGTTACTGCGTGTGCTGATTAAAACACTTCAGTCCTACACATCATTTATATGTTTGCTTGCTGAAGTATCGCAATGACATGAAGAGATTAAGTTGGTAAAAGCAATATGTTGACCAGGTATATTTACATTTTTTGTAGAAATTATATTTCATGTAATCATTCAAACTAAATTTACAATTAAATTTGGTACAAGCAGCACTGCATTGAGTACATCTAATTAATGGTCATTTATCGTTCTCTTATTTACAAGTTCTCCCATGATCGATGTGCATATATCTTATCTTTCAGAAATCAGGTATTAAGTAGCAGTCATAGAGTTTATCAGACAGGATGTTGTATCCACTGATGCTGTAATACTGAATTTGGGCAATCGTCCTGCACTACTGTAAAACAATGAATAATTTAAACTAGCTCATTTAATTCAAACAAACATATTTTTGTTTTCATACACTTTATTGCTTGGCCAAATTATTAGGCTTTTTGGCAAACTAAGCACGTTACGAGGTTTATTGAATATTTCAGACAGTGCAATGTTTCTGAAAATCTGAGTTCAATTAATTTGAATAGTTGAGTGAATCAGGGTATTTATAGATTTTGTTGGATTAAAATTGTATAAAATGAGTGAGACAATATATGTGACATTTGTTATCATTTCAGATAGCAAGGACAGAGTAACACTAGGAAAGGTTATCCTGCTCCCAGATCATGAGAAGGGAGGGGTCACATCAGTGTCATTCTTAAACCACACTATAGGTAAGGCATTCATTTTCATTATACAAAAGCTACAAATAGTAGATTTTCCATAACTTGAACAAATTTGCGACTGGAATACTTTTTTAGATGTGCAAAATTACAAGCTAGGCAGTGTTACCAAGTTTTAGCTAATACAGAAGAAAGAAACCTGTTTCACAAGATTTATTGACCGAGAATAATAATGTGAGTAAGCAGGTGTGGATATTTGTGGAGTCTTCTGGATGTGTTATATCTGTGTTAATTGTAATTTTAAAGACAACAGATGGGGTATTTGTAAAGGTCAAGTTAATTACTAAGTAAAGCTGTACACATTGTGCTATACACTATACCTTGGTGATGCATATGTGTGCTTGAGATCATACATATTTCAGTTCAACCACATATGCTGACAGTCATATTTGTGTCTGTATCTGCATGAGCATTTGAGTGTGTTTGTAAGCATGTACTGTCTGTGTTTTTGTCCTCTGTAAGTATTTATGTACATGATTGTGATAGTTTAGATTTGTCTGTATTTATACAAGTCTGTGAGGTGTTTAGCCTCAGAGGAAAATATATTAATTTTGCATCATATTTTAGTGTGCATTTGAATCAGTTCTTTAGAAGCTTATTGATAACTTATAGGATTTTGCATTCTAATTTCACTAAATTATAACATTATATTTACTGTTATCAATATAACCTAAAACAGTTATCACATCAATCCACCTTTAACTCTGATGCCCCTGACTCATCATTGCTATCCGAAAAGACCCCGAAAGTCAGTATTGAGAAAACTCCCAGTTGTTATGATAGGAGTACAAAAGGTTGAAAACGTGCCAGTGTCCTAAAGGAATCCTTCATTATGACTGTTTAAGGGGTTCAGAAGATTCAAGCTGGTCAAGTAGTGCCCTCAGAGACCCTGTGTTATTATTACTGGTGCACATGTGACCAGAAGTGAGCCAGATATCATCACACCGTTTACATAAAATACAAAGCTTGGCAGGTCACGAGCCCGTGACTCACACACGTGGTGGCATCTCTGCTCATTGTCTGTGGGACTCAATTCAAAAGTTGGTCTCAGCTTGAACTTGGCAAAAATAGTCATGTACTTTGACTTTGTAGTTTACTTTGACCCATGGATAAATTCAAATTGCCAGTTGTCCATTTTAAAAGGGACACTGGGCCTACTTCATAAAAAGTAGGAAATGCTTGGACTGTCTGTTACTTCTGTTAATATATCCTGTGATAAATTTGACTAAAATTTATCCTTAAAGCAGAGTTTAAATTTTGGTATAAAATTTTATGTTAAACAGGATGAGAGGATGACATTTGACTATTTTTTTGTTGTTTTGTAAATTGTGTGAAAAAAGAATAAATAAATATACAAATTATATGGTAAAACTGAATTAAAAACAGATAATAGTCAAATGTTATCAAAAATCACCATACTGACCAAAGCCTCATAGGATTTCAAAGCTGTATTATTCAGTTAGTTGGATTCAGTTGTAGTCAGGCTGTAATCAATCAGTACATCAGTTTTCTAACTTGAACATGAAATAAATTTTTATCTAAAGGGCTATTTAAGTGGAACATTATGTAATAGTAAAAATTTCCTGGAAATTTCAGCATTTTTCCCTAGTCACTTAGGTACAATATATATAGAGATTGTTGTTTTCCTGATTGAATACACCTTGTTGATTAAAGGAGGCATTGGAATTTCCTGGAAAAGGCCTAATGTGCATTATGCCTTTATGAACAGGCATTCCAGTATTATATATAAATATATATTTATTTCTTTAAGAAAATGACATAGATGAAGGCAGCGAGGTGAAGATAGAGGTCTCCTACAATGGGAAGGAACTGTACAAAAATCACTGGGAATTATGCACAATAGATGAAGATGAAGAAGAGGATAGAATTGTTTTTTGTCCAATTAAGAAGGGACCAAGAACATGGAAGAAAGAAATGAAGATTCCAAATTATTTGCCAAAGGTAACAAGGTTGATTCAAATGCATATAGATTATTTTGACTGATAAACTTGGATTTGTTTTATTGTTATGGTTTTCATTTCAGCAATGTGTTTTACTGTTGTGCCCCATCCTTCGGTTTTTAACTAAAATTTATAAACTTCAGCCTGTATTTGAACAATAATCTAAGACACCAGCAGGTAGTTGACCATTGAGTTATATCTTGCCTTTAATTCAAAATAGTGTATTCAATATATCTATAATGGCAATTTGCTAAAATGGGCACAAAGATATTTAACTAAAGAGCAATTTTGTGACATTTCCCACTACTTTTTAAGCCAATTAAGTATTCACAACTGCAGCATATTCTTAAGATTGCATTTGTATTATTTCTACCTTCATGTATGTACTAAGGAAACATTTATTTTTATTTTCAGGGAAGGTATACAGCCAAAGCATGGTTGGTTGACATAGATGAGAAGATTTTGGTGTGTGGATTTGCAGACTTCACTCTCTGATGATGGTTACTGTAATTATCATCATCAGCATTTAAAATAGTAGCGCTTAACAAGTCATCATAGTTCATTCATTTAAAGATGTCACGACCTCAGGGTTTCACCAGATAAAGATCATTTACAGAAAATATTTTCTGAAAGTTTTTTTATTTTAAAAACTTTTATCTGGGGCAAGGAAAATTTCTTATGGATGAAACTTTGGTTGATAAACAATCTATTTATGTTGCTTTTTATTTATGTAGCTTCCAAAGTTGCCCAAAATATCTTTGTTTAGAAGTTTTGGTGTAGTGTAGATGTGGGGACATATAATATGATTTGAAAAATATGCTCAATGCTATTACCTCTCATGCCATTTGGATCAAACCAAAATGCTGTAATGTTTCTTATTATAGTGATCATAATAAAATATCTATGACTCTTCTCAAGAGTTTTTTTCTTGTATCTTTAGATTATTTGTGAAAGGACTAGATGATGATGTGCAGGAACACATGTGGGATCCATCTCCTCAATAAACAAAATTAAACAAAACTGTGCCTACATTGTTATCAAGATCACTGATATTTACAATCACTTTCTTCAAAGTTTTAAAGGAAAAGACAAGAAAGTAAGATTTTATACAAAAATAATCTTTTATTCAGAAAAAAACAGTACACTGTTATTCATTTATTTAAAAATTCTTAAAATCTCAATTTGTTCCTATTAATTTATGATAAAACACACCACACAACTGACATATTTAATATTAACACCATACAAGTAATGAAAACAGATTTATGTACAATAATGATCTTGTACAAGAAATTGGAGATCTATACTGTTAATATGAGACATCTGCCTAAGCACACACATATTATTTTAATACACACTGCAAAGGTAATTTATGTAATTAATATAAATACATAGAATTCAATCATCTGGTCCCAACTGTGCAATATCAGAATGTATTGAATCTTAGAAGAGATCTTAAACAGAACTGTCAATGGACATGTTACAATAACTATATTATAAAATATATAGTTATTATATATGGTTGCTATAGAGTTATCAGTTTACATTCCCTTTGTAAAGAGGTATATCTTAAATACCTCAACATCTTAACTCACCTTACATTCAAGAAATTAACTTGCAATTAAATGAAAAAGGGAGATCATAGAAGAAAAACATGAAGAAGGTTCATCAAAAGTACACATAATTCACTCATATAGGGAGAAAATTTACAGAACAATCTGAAACAGTTGAAACATACCAATTATATATTACTGAAAAGCTGCTGATCATGAGCAACAGACAGTGTGGTAGTTGTGCTATGTAGTGATTGTGCTGAGTGTGATGTGAACACGAGGTCAAAGCTGATGAGTACAAGTTGACTCAAATTCAGTGATCATGACAGCAATAAGAAATTTGAATAACAAATTTGTTGCATGTTGTCTACAAGACAAAAACATTTCAGCAGCCAAGATGAAAGGAAGCATGAGGTCCTGGATAAAAAAAATGGGGGTGGGAAGCGTGAGAAAAAAATATTGGAGGGGGGGGGAACAGGTCATGAACAGGATCTTCATAACAATAGTCTGCAGTAAACCCTTTACTGGCTGTTGGAAAAATGTCATCCAGTTGAAACAAAACACAAAACACCAGTATTGGGGCAAATGACCAAGTCTCAGTATTAAAATTCAGTTTTTGATAACTTTGATCAAACTAGGAAGACATTTGCCCAATTCTGAACTTGCATTTTTATTTGGATGTTCAGAGTATATAGTAAGTTGCACATTTGTCACTTGGATAATGTATAGACAGTGGTCACGTATTGCTTCTTGGCCAAGTCATGAATTAGTGTCATATTACATGCCTAAAGACTTTAAGAAGAAGTTTCCCCATACAAGAGTAATTATTGATGGGATGAAATGCACATAAAAGTCTGGGAAACCTGTAGCTCAAAAGGTCACATACTCTAGCTACAAAAACAGAAACTGTGACAATGTAGTGTGTTAGTTGAGATTGTTTTATATTTCTACAGCTAGATGTCTCGGTCTATAAGTAAAGTAAAGGAAACGGGGGCTAGTTGGCCCTGTCAGACACTTTTTATGCCTTACAAGATTTCACCAAGAGGAAAGAACTTTTAATTGAGCCTGTATGCACGGAGAGACTGCAGACGTTCCACAGGCCCAGGAAGGTGTATACTGGTGCTTCAGTAAAGGCTGAAGATCTATAGACTTGGTTGCAGATATCAGCAACGTAATATTTGACCCACTGAATGGACTTGATGAGGAGACTGATGAGGAGTACAATAGTAAGGTGAGGAACCTGACTGTAAATTATGGTGCATTAAATCCAAGTCCAAAATCCCTCTAATGCAGCTGTATGCACCTGCAAATCCTATTGCAGTAGACTTGGACCATGATTACTTGCAGAATATGGGTTCAGAAAACTTCCTTCAATCAAAAAACATCACAGTCATTTCACCAGATGCTCAAGTTGATATTGAGAGGAGGACTCAAAGACAGAGAAGAAATTCAGCTTGGAAGGCTGAGAGAGAAAAAGAGACAGCAATCATCAAATTTCAGTGCAATTTGCAAAACAAGCAATCCTCAGAAACTTGCAGCCTCTCTTATGCAGACCAAGGACTTGACCCATGTTTCTGCCATCAGGCATGGACTTGTCAATGAAGATAAAGCGTTGGCTGCTTATGAACAGAAAACTGGGAAAAAGGTCTCAAGACATTGAATCATTGTTGACTTGGAAAGGCCTTATTTAGGCACCTCAGTTGCGGTATAGCTGGGGAAGTGGCTGTTGAGGTTAAATGTCCCTATGTGGCTCGTGATAAACCTATATCTCATGCTACTGTCCCTTATTTGAAGACAACCAACCAGGGTCTCACCCTTGATAGTAAACACCCATATTATTATCAAATTCAAGGACAGCTGCATATCACGCAAAAATAAAATAGATTCAGACAACAATACCAGCTGAGTTGATCCAGCCATGGGGTGATTCTTGCTAAAGTGCAATCAATTTAATCAGCTTAATTTTCCGACAGCCTCCTCGACCAGGTAAGGGGTAATTACCCCTAGTTGCTCAAGGAGGCCTGTCAGACAATTTAGCTGATTACATCGATTGCACTTTAGTAAAAATCCCCACAGATCAGTTGGATCATCCCAGATGTTATGACATCTAAATCTGAATGCATTACAAGTATTACATGCTTTAATCCAAAGCATTTTTTCATGATTTCTTAAATGTTACTCTTATTTAATTTATTTCTGCCTTTTTCTATTTTGTCTAGATAATGTAACAGCCTGGTGTAAGAAAAATGGATTTCCTATTCCACCTGAGACAATTCTGAATGATGCCATAACAGAAAGAATAAGCTATGCACGGAAACAGACGAGGAAAAACATTTTCAGGGATTACCATTGAAATGAAAATTATGTCACCTATGCAGCGGCATTATTGTACAACTAGAAAAGAGCTCTTAATTGGCTGTTGTAAACTTCTGTTGACAATATAGACATCATTTGTTGGGAAGAAAGTTCAGAATCCGAACAGATCATCATAGTTTAGTGTGGTTGTTAGGATTTAAAAACCCAGATGGTCAGTTAGCAAGATGGTTAGAAGAATTATCTCAGTATAATTTTACCATTGAACATAGACCAGGAAAGAAGCATGGAAATGCAGATGCATTATCAAGAATACCTTTAGCTATGAAAGAGTGTGATTGCTATAAGGTTGATAAGGTTTATAAGGAGTGATTTACCCTGTGGAGGATGTCATTATTGTCAGAGTGTACATAAAAATTGGTCAAGATTTGAGATTGATGTGAATGATGTAATTCCTCTGGGAAGTAAAAATTAAATCAGATGACAATGTAGTTGAATCAAATGCAGTTGATGATATGATGAATGAAACAAATTGTGAAAAATTCAGTTCAGTTGTTGATGTGTCAGAGGGCTGATACAAATGATAAAACTGATAAGAATGAAAGAGATGAATTATGCAACTGGTTGAAAGGATATGACTTGAAAAAATTGCAGAGAAAAGATGCAGATTTGAAAATAATCATAGGTTGGTTAGAGAATGGTGAACCTAAAGAGTCAGAGTTGTATTTGTGTAGTATGGCAAGGAAAGAATTGTGGAATTGCAAAGAACAATTGATTCTTTTGAATGATGTGTTATATTACAAATGGGAAAAGAGAGAAGATAGGAATTTGTGTTTAATTGTACCAAAAGATTTGGTCAATGAAGTTTTATTTTTCTGTCATGATTCAAAAACAGCTGGTCATTTTGCTTATGAGAAAACTTTGCAAAAACTCAATCATTCAAGTGGCATGGAATGAATAGAGTTTGCAAATTGTATGTAAGTTCATGTGAACTTTGTAATAAAAACAAGCATAGTACTGTTCGACCAAAAGCCAAAATGAAATTACATCATGCAGGATTTCCTATGGAAAAGGTTCATTTAGATATACTTGGACCGTTTACACAAAGTGAATTTGGGAATTCTTATATTTTGGTGATGATAGATCAGTTTACTAAGTGGATAGAGTGTGTGGCATTGCCAAATCAGACAGCTGAATTAGTAGCAAAAGCATTTTTTGAAAAATTCATAGTTACTTTTGGTTGTCCACAAGAAATATATACAGATCAAGGGTCAAATTTCCAAAGTAGTCTATTTAGAAATTTGTGTAGATTATTAGAAATCAAACAACTTAGAACTGGTTTTAGAGCAAGTGCTAATGGACAAGTTGAAAGATGCATGGGTATTATTACACAGATGATTAGATGTAATGTAGAAGGGAATGTGAGATATTGGGATAGAGATTTACCTCAATTAGTTATGGCATTACATTCAACTGTGAATGCATCAACAGGGTTTACTCCTAACATGATGATGTTAGGGAGAGAAGTAATTATGCCATTGCACTTACAGGTTGTGTGAATGAAAATTTGATACCATATGAGACTCATGAATGGTTGAAAAACTTGAGTGAAAGTCTAAATAGATCACATGAAATGGCTAGAGAAAAACTGAAATGTGTGCAGAAACGTCAAAAACAATTGTACGATGCAAAGTTGAAAGAGAGTGAATATACTTGTGATCAGAAGGTATATTTGCGGGATGAAAGCCATAAAAAGGGAGAAAGTAAGAAACTTAGACCCCCATATTAAGGACCATATAATGTTCTTAGAGCATCCCCACCTCTCTATACAATTAAAGATAAAAAAGGAAAAATCCAGGTGGTACAACATGACAGATTAAGAAAATTTGTTGAAAGAGAGAGTGATTTTCATTTGAATGAACCACAATTGGTGGAACCAATTGTAAAAAGATCAAGATTTGGTAGACAAATTAAGATGCCATCTCATTTAAGAGATTTTGCTTTAGAATGATTATATTGATGTATATTTTTTTTAACAGTTAAGGTATAGTTGTATATAAATACTTCCTTAATTTTCGGCAATGCTGAAATAAAAGGAATTTAATTTATTTATTTGCATTTTTTTATTTAGATCATGGATGAATCAAATATTATGAGAATACTAGAAGAAGAGCTTCAATGGCTCTGCGAGCAGGATTCTAACTGGAGTACAGACTGGATTGAAACTCCAGAAACATTATATGTACATTCCATCAGAAACATTGCATTAAAAAACTCAAAAGACGCTAAAATAGTCATCCATCTAGGAAAGATATGGAGAGAAAGTTTATTGTCAGAAACAGGATATGACTATTTCATTGATCATGAAAAAGAAATGAATAAAGAGTTGTCGAAAGAAGAGTGCATAGAGATAATTTTTTTATCTCAGAGACAAGCTATACAAGTATTTAAAAAAAATAAATAAATAAATAAATAAATAAATAAAAATTTATATATAAAGTATATTATAGTTTGAACTTCCTATTATATTTCAGGTAATTTGATCAAAACAACAGTCCAAGTTGGCATGTGCTTTCTAAATATTTGGTTGAATTTTATTGTTGAGCATGATACACTGAACACTGCATGAATAAGTTGATAGCTACTTTTGTGTTTTTTGGATTATGGTTATAAAAAAAAAAAAAGTTAAATATTACCTAACATGGTTACACTGTTCAAACTAATATGTAGCAGTTTAGCATGTGTTTTGCATGTTATTTGATTAGAGGTTGTCAAGGTAACCATTCTTTTCTTATTACACATTTTAATGATGGTATCTTACTTGGGGATTTGGTATAAAAATAATATTTGTACATAGTAAATGTGGCAATGCTGTAATATGTTAGTAATGTAATACTATGTTAGTAATGTAATATGGCAACAAGGATGAGATATGTTTATAATGTAATATGCTAATATTCATTTGAAAGAAAAGATCTTTATAATGTTATTTTTGTTCAAGAAAATAAACCATTGTATAAGTTTATTTCAGATATGGATAATTCAGACATGCTAGATGAAGCCTATTTTGTCCCGATTATGATGACACTGATTTGGTGGAAGATCCTACTGTCCTAATTGGTGAAGAGGGGGAGGAAGCTACCCACTCAAAGTGCAGAAAGAAGAAAGAAAGAAAAGTAGTTCAGTGTGGTTTGTGTCTGGTGTCCAGTGCTGACCTGAGTAGACATCTTGGACGTCATATGAAATCTGTTCATTTGCCATGGTATATGACTCCAGGATTGGTGTGCTGGTATCGCAGATCGATGGAAAAGGACAATTCGCTTTTACGTAAATGTCATGGTGATGTTCATTCGTGTGGGACTGGTGAATTCGAGGAAAAACTGTGGATCCAGTTGGTGAATGGATTTATTCATTTTCTGATATTGACATTAAATATGAGAAATGTATGGGAACTGATGGACTATGTGCAAAGTGAAGGACTAGCAATATTACCAGATAACTGTTCCGATGAGGACATTAAATTTGTGAAAATGTACATTTACGGAAATGGTATGGAGCCTAAGACTGAGATTCTGAATTCTTTGTTGACTTTGTTTCACTGGAGAACTTTGTATCATCTGTTACAAAAACTTTCATCAGAGGAGCGTGAACTCAGTAGTCATTGGTATCAGCGGATGGAATTTACTTTGCTACATGGATGAAAAATGCACTATATAATGATTTGACATTTCACATTGACATTGTTATCATTAATAATGTTGTTTTGAGCAACTTTGAGTTAAAATCACTTTGTTTGCTTTTAAAGTTGATTTAAAGTGATAACGGATTTAAAACTTTGTTTTGCATTCCTAAGGATGGACATTTATGCTGAGAGATGGATTTAATTGACTTTGCTTGTGTTAAAGTTAAATGTTGAATCTTGGCATAACAATAATGACTTATTTGCTTTACGTGCTTATTTTAAATGTAAAGTACGATTTCAGTTGTTGAATTATAGTAATTGTTAGTTTAACAATTAAAAATAATGGTTTATATTGTAATAATAGGGGGGAGTTTTGTTCGTCAAAAGGGGGGAGAGTGTGACGATGTCGTGCGTTAGTTAAAATTGCTTTACATTGCTAACGGTAGATGTCTCTATAAGTAAAGTACAGTCCAGTGCGCACTTTTGAATCTCACCCGTGACTGGTAACTTAAAGGTAAAACTGTTCACTGTATAGTTGGTTCTGATTGGTAAACGTGTACTATCTGAACTTGTATATAAGGTGTGACTTGAAATAAATCGGCCTCTTGGATCTTTGTTGCTCTTGGCGGTACTCTTGACTCTTCTTTGCGGGCTTCTAGTTAATAACTCTTAGACACCAGTAAGTACATTGTTATTTGTACCTTCATAAGGCACTCGGCCGCGAAGGCGTAACACTATAGAATGATTTGACATTTCACATTGACATTGTTATCATTAATAATATTGTTTTGAGCAACTTTGAGTTAAAATCACTTTGTTTACTTTAAAGTTGATTTAAAGTGATAATGGCTTTAAAACTTTGCTTTCCAAAAGATGGACATTTATGCTGAGACATATACTTGATTTACTTTACTTGTGTTAAAGTTAAATGTTGACTCTTGTTATAACAAGAATGAACGAATTTGCTTTACTTGCTTATTTTAAATGTAAAGGACAATTTCAGTTGTTGAATTATAATAATTGTTAGTTTAACAATTTAAATTGATGGTTTATTAAATGGTTTATATTGTAATAATAGGGGGGAGTTTTGTTCGTCAAAAGGGAGGAGAGTGTGACGATGTAGTGTGTTGGTTGAGATTAGTTTATATTGCTACCGGTAGATGTCTCTATAAGTGAAGTACAGTCCGGTGCGCATGTCTGAATCTCTCCCGTGATTGGTAACTTAAAGGTAAAACTGTTCACTGTATAGTTGGTTCTGATTGGTAAACGTGTACTATCTGAACTTGTATATAAAGGGTTGACTTGAAATAAATCGGTCTCTTTAGGGGCACCTTATGGCTTCTTGTAGTGCGCCTTGGTCTTCCTTGGCTTTTACGGCTCCCTGTTGGTTCTTAGAATTAGTGAATTACACCAGTAAGTACATTGTTATTTGTACCTTTATAAGGCACTCAGCCGCAAGGCGTAACAACTTGATTGTTGCTGACATCAATGACCATCAGAAGTCTCTGGCGGAAATTCTGCATAAGGACATTCAAAACGCGATGGTACAGATCACTGCGATAGCAAAATCCAACTCAAAAGGCGGCGTTACACCAGAACTGGTTAGTGCAATGGACATATTTGGCTGTGGAAGCGAGGAAATTGTTAGAACACTGAACTTTGACATTTTTATTTGCCTTAAAAATAACAGAAAATTAGAATCATACATTCTGTTCGAAATGTAAATGAGATTTGACTCTTGGTGACACTGTTGAAAGACTGAACTGAATCGTTAGTTATGTATTCTTAAGTCATTTTTATTGTGTTTAGTAATTTAGTAAGTTGAGTCAGAGTTTTAAAATGATCGTGTAGAAACATGGAAGTGTTTCCAGGAGTAAACACAGCTGAGTAGGGGGCAGTGTTGTGTTCTTAAAATGATCATGTAGCACTTGCGTGTAATTGATTGTTTACCTCAGAGCCACTTTAACATAGAAAGTCAGAAACTGCGCAGCTGGAGATGATCAGCTGGATGTGGCTGGAAATGTACACCCTCAGTCACACAGTACAAGGCTAGAAATGACCAGCTACAGGTGGCTGGAAATGACTGCTGGGGGGGGGTCAAACAGTGCATGGCTGAAAATAGCCAACTGGAGACGGACAGAGAGTGACCGCAGAGGTGTATAAATAGGGGTGCACTCTCAGACTATGGAGAGTGAGTAGCAGTATTAGTATAAGAGCAGTGTTAGATCACTATTAGCAGAGCACTGGCATCTTCAGACTTAGATTTAGAACACCCACTTACCAGTCATTGGCTGTAACTTAGTTTCAATAAACAGAAAGCGAATATGCAAGAAAAAGTAACGTCATCTGCCTTGGTTTCTTCGGGAGAAAAACGTAACAATATCAAGCTGGAGCAAGACAGATATTTTTAAGGGGGGGAAAGCAGGGGAAGGGCCGTCAGCACACTGTAAGCATGTAAGGGCATGCATGCTAGTAATTTTGGACTGCAGTAATGGAAATAAAAGTGGTTTTGGAAACAACATGTACTGCGGAGTTGCAGTCTTTTCATCACGCAAAGAAATTTATTATGGTTCTCCCATCAAGACAGCCAATGTGCCATCCAGGTCTAACATTTCCAAATTATCATTTAACCTTTCAGAACAGTTCAATGAAACACCTTCAGCTGTTTACTCAAGAGTAGCCAATGCTTCCATCAACTTTGCTGATGGATGCTAACACATCTGCCAATCCTGCTATCCTACAATTATTCCCTCCTGCAAATCTCAGAGCTGTTTACTTGGACCATGATTACAATAAATCATCACCAGATGATCAATGTCTTGAATCTGGAAACATTACCTCAATAAATGCCACTGAAATGCAGAAAGTGAAGACAGCAACTTTGGGACAAAACACAAACAAAATTTGGTATTCCGAGTGCTGTAAAAGAATTACTTCTTCAAATTATGGGAAAATTTGCAAAATGAAAAAGGAAGACCCTGGCAAAGCTGCCAAAGAATTTCAATCTGTGAAACAGTTGAATACCAAGCCCATTCGCCATGGACAACGTTACGAGTTAAAAGCAATATGTGAATATGAGAAAATTACCGCGGTAACTGTTCAGAAAACTGGATTATGGGTTGATGCAGCAAGTCCATATCTTGCTTCCTCTTCAGATGGTACTGAAGTGAAGTGTCCTTATTTAAGTTAAGAGCAAGGGGGGGGATGGCATCTAGTATTACCAGGTTAGGGGTGTAAACAGGGAATGGCATCTGGAATTCACTGCAGAAGCTCCTTGCAAATTATCTGTCCAATCAAGGAGACCCAGCGGCTTTGAAGCATCACTTTTGCTGAAATTTGCAGCACTAAATTCGGGGCTCTCTTTTAGGTACGCGCTGCAGCATTTATTCAGTAAGTTCTTTGCAGAAAGCATGGCATTCAAGATTGATTATACAAGCTGAGCCTCGCTGGAAAAAAAATTTTCGTTTGGTCTGTGACTGTTTATTTCTTTACTTTTACGAATTCGTTTGTGCGACTCTTGGATCTAACCAAGCTTGAATAGACTTTATTGCGAAATGGAACATTCACCATTGCAATTTATTCATTTTTGCCTCGCTGACAGTCTTTGTTTGAGTTACGCTTTGCGTCTGCCAGTATTTCTCTTGATCGGCTTTGTTTGAGGGACTCACGGATCCAACCTAGAAGGAGACTCGTACGAGAAGCCGACCTTTCATTTTACAAGTAAGATTTTCTTTTTCATTACCTTTAAGTTATCCTTGATCACAGTTGGCCATGGCGGTCCTTATAATTGGTCACTCCTTCGTTCATAGGCTTCGTTCGTATCTTGGCCAAGGTTGGGACGGACGTACAGAGAAAGATTTTGGATTTCCCAACGTTGTACACTGGCACGGTGTGGGAGGCCGTACGGCCCTGAAACTAGTCAGGTATGACTTGGGTGTCCTTCGCCGGGTCCGCCCCGCCTTGGTTATATTGGTAATTGGGTCAAATGACCTATCTGACTTAAATATTTTTTTGTTCAATATAGGTAAGAGCATTGAGGGCCTCGCTCGGAGATTTCACTAGGAGTTCGGCGTTCTTCACGTAGTGGTGAATCAGGTTCATCACAGGCTCTGTCTCCCCTATTCGGACTTCAATGATCAAGTTGATCAACTTAATATTCTTCTTTCAGACATCGCCCAGAGAGATTCGTTTATTTCTTTTTGGAAGAATGTCGGTCTAAGCAATCCGTCACCTTTAACAATCACAGAAAGATATGCTCAACACTTTGAGCCCAAGACAGTTACAGGAGACTGGCCCATTGACATTAAAACTGTCCATAATGCAGACCTTGTAGGTGCGGAATTAGATGATGTGTTGACAAATGTAGATAGCCTAGACATTAGTGTCACTTCAGCTCAAACTGCATTTGTAGAGGCAGAGACACGCAACCAGTCCAGGTCTAAGAAGTGGCTGAAATACAGGGTTGGCTGCATCACAGCCTCCAAGACTTATCAAGTGACACACACAAGCACTGAAACACCTTCAAAGTCCATACACAAATCAATCTGCCAGCCATTACAGGTCAGCATTGCAGCACTGAGTGGGGAAAGAAGAAGGAGCCAGTAGCCAAGAAGGAATATCTGAGTTTGGCACAGAATAACCACCAGAGTTTTTCAATGCTGGAAAGTGGTCTTGTACTGAACCCGGACTATCCAGAATTTGGAGCGACTCCAGATGGCCTCATCAGCTGTTCTTGCTGCGGCTTTGGAGTGTTGGAAATTAAATGCCCCTACAACATGAGGGATAGTGGTACAATTGAAATGCCGTATTTGGTAAATGGAAAATTGAAAAGGGAATCTGCATATTACTATCAAGTACAGACACAGTTGTTCATGGCAGTCCACCAGTATTGCGATTTTTTTGTATGGAGCCCTTCTGCCTATCATCTGGAACGAATTCACCAGGATAAAGAACTGCTCGCGATCCACGTACTCATAACAGGTTGTCTTGGTGACTCCCTATCGCCACCATGTCTATGACATAATTATCAAACAGATAGGATAGGAGATAGGAGATTGTGCATTTATGTTGTTGTAAAAGAATATTTAGAGAGAATATCAGTTCTCCAGGAAAATGAACAATTTCTTTTTGTTAGTTATGTGAAGCCTCATAAAAGAGTCTTTAGAGACACGTTATCTAGGTGGATTAAAGAAGTTATGGTTTTATCAGGAATTGATACTAGATTGTTTACATCTCACAGTATTTGTTCAGTCTAGAGTTCAGTTTCTAGGGCTAAACAGTGTTTAGTTCCATTAGACACTATTATGAATCAAGCAGGATGGACTAATGCAAAGACATTTGCGAAATATTATGAGAAAGGCATTGTTAAACATAGTTATGCAGAGGCTATACTTGGATCAGTTTAGGTTCAATTTATTTTCCGAATAAATGAATATGAAATTTATTCTTGGGGTTGGTACATTTGTTCATAATACTTTGAAATCTCACAGAAGACCAGAAGTGGGTATGACGAAATAGAATTTAAAAATTAAATGAAACTTACCTTGGACAAAATGAACAAATAAGGAAAAACAAAAGATACAGGGTATAACAGCAAGGTCAAAAATTAGATGGATTGAAGAGGGGGAAAAAGCAACAAAATACTTTTTGGCATTGCAAAACAGAAATTTCGTTAACAAGACTATAAATAAAATACACAAAGATAATGGTGATTTGATCCTCTGAAATGCCTAAGATGAATGCTACTACAGCCAACATGCTTGAAGGGAAAACACACATGATGAATTACTTCAGCCATTAAAAAATATGAAAAATGATAAAAGCCCAGGAATGGACGGCTTCAGGTCGGAATTTTTTAAGTTTTTTTTTTTTTTTTTTTTTTTTGATAGATATACATTCCTTTATTCTCCATTCCATAAATGAAGCATATGAAACCAACAAATTGTCTATTTCGCTCACTCAAGGAGTAATAACCTTGATCCCTAAAAAAGGAAAGCCAATAGACTTTCTACAAATTCTAAGGCCAATCTCCCTTTTGAATGTAGTCTATAAACTGGCATCTGGGTTGATTGCAAATAGAATCAAGAAAGTGCTACACACTCTGATCAACAAAGACCAGAATGGCTTTATGTCAGAAAGATTTATAGGGGAAAATATAAGATTTGTTTATGACATTATAGAACACTGCGAGTCTTTCCAAAAAACGGGATTTTTGAAAGCATTCGATTCTTTGTAATGGGACTTTATCCTAAAAACACTTGATTTTTTTGGTTTTGGAAATTCATTGATTTAATAGGTAAAAATATTTTTGAAAGATTCACAGTCATGTATATTAGTGAATAGACATTCTTCTTCCCTCTTTAAAAGTATCTCAAGGCTGTCGCCAAGGTGACCCCCTCTCACCATACTTATTCATATTATGTGCAGAACTTCTGTGTAGCATGTTAAGAAATAACTACAACATAAATGGCATTAAAATATATAATGAAGAATTTCTAATAACCTAGTATGCAGATGATACAACTATTTTTAGATAGAAATGAAAAAAGTTTACATACTGTGCTCCAAACTTTAAAAAAATTCACTAGTATGTCTGGTTTAACTGTAAATTCATAAAAAACAAAAATGCTTTGGATAGGAAATATGAAAAATGCTAACACTGTTCTTTGTAAAGATTTTAAACTAGATTGGAATTCGAAGACTTTAGACATTTTAGGTGTTGAGTTTTCAACCAACTTACAGGAAATGGTGGAAAAGAATTATAAAGATAAATTTAAAGAAGTAAACAGGTTGATGGAAAAATGGTTGATTAGACCCCTGACAGTATTAGGGAGGAATGTAGTTCTAAAATCACTGATATTACCAAGGTTTACTTTGAAAGATGATTCAAAATTATAGAAATGGCAGAATTAAGACTACTAACATTAAGTGTTACATTATTGCACTAAAGGTAACCTGGCTAAGAAGATGTATATTCAAAGATTCAAAATGGAAGACATCCTTTTTAGACTCTACCAATACCAATTTAAATTGGGCTGAAATTGGTCAGGGAAAACTGGTATCTATAAGGAATAATGTAAGAAACTTTTTTTGGAAAGATGTTATTGATGCCTGGTTATATCTGCTAGATCACAAAAGTGTCTGTACCAGATATAAATTCTTGAAGGAATGCATATGGTGCAATGATAGAATCTCGATAAATAAAAGAACTATGATGAAAAAATTTGGCAGAAATCGGGCATCAATTATACAAATGATTTTATTTTAAAAAATGGCGAATATTTTAATTTTGATCAATTTACACAAAAATTTGGAAATATTACTGATTTTGTTACATTTCATGGTATGATATCCGCTGTTAATAAATATCAAAAGGAGCTTGGTATTGACATTAAGGGGAAAAAAAATAGAGTATCCATGTTTACCTACACAAATATCGTGGTTGATAAGATTTAATAAGGGGTGTAAATAAGGAGTGTTTTTTTACTTTATTTTATTTTTTTGGTGATGTTCTTTATAGTAGTCATACGTGAAGTTGTCATTTATTATTCTCAAATTTTAGAATTAGGTTAATGCCATATATAGAACTTGATATAATAATTAGGGAATATAAAACTAATCTTAACATAATGCACAGGTTCTTTTCTTTGACACTAATTTTCATTTTGCTACGTCAAAATTTAAACACTCTAACTAAAGTCCGCACCAGACGATGAGGAAACAGCTGAGCTGACAGTCATTCGAGGCCGTTGGCTCAGCTGATAGCTCACTGTATGGGGACGATTTTTCAGTGGAATCCGCCGGATCAGGATCAGTAGAACTACAAATTGAAAACTATTATTCCAACTTTTTGGACTTTCCTTGATCAAACCCACACATTTCTGATTTTATTCAAGATATCCTTTATTTTATAAATATTATTTGTAGGTGTATGACCAACAGAGTCATGGCTGGAATGAATTTATCAGGAAAGAAAAAAAAAATTTTCCGTTTGGGCACAGCAACTTCTGTACGGTGATCAAAGGTAATTAAATTAATGTTGCAGTTTGTTTTACATTTACAGTTGTAATTTGTGCCTAATTTGATTTTTTGTAATAAACTAATGTTGGTAATACCGCTATCAATATCTATCATCTCCAGTTTGGGCAGCTAAGGCTAAAAAAATAGTTCTTACATTTTGCACCCTAGTTGGAATTTAACACCCAATCTTAACCTCATTCTTAGAATCCCTCAATAAGCCACAATAGGCACACCTGCCAGTGTTTGTTCAATACATATATGCTTACATTTTTACTTCACTTTTTTTTTCAGATGTCATGATATCAAGATATGGCTGAACAGAGAAAGAAGTCTCGGACAGTATCGTCAATTATCTGAAATGGGCCCCCCCCCCCCAAAAAAAAACGGAGGTGGAAGAAAGTCCCAATTGAAGAACTTGAACTATTGTTTTGGCCTTGTGATAGATATTGCTAGAATACTTTACAGGTCATATTTGAAAATGGGCTTCACTTCACTTTCAATATTAAATTCAACAAAAACTCAACATTGTGACTCAATGTTGGATCAACATTGAATTAAATGTTGTGTGCCTGCTGGGATAGAGTTGGCGGGTACAATATGTATAAATTGGGCAAAGTTCAGAACATTCTGTAAAAATTGATAATCTATTCTCAGTTAGGGCAGTTGTTGGTGCGAGTTTCATAAAGGACAGCTGGTACAATTCACAAATTGATATTTTGGCAAATGGCAAGATTGATTACTCCTACTGCAAGTGCAAGGCAGGAGGGCAGGGAAAATGCAAACATGTTGCAGTCTTGTTTAGTCTGAATGACATGAGGCTGTCTGGGTTATCTGAAATCCCTGAAGAACTGGCCTGTTCACAAAAACTCAAGGAGTGGGGTAGAAGAAAATGCAGTGTGACCGTCCCAGGAAAATTTTCGGACTTGGACTTTGTAAGGTATCAACCAGGCAAAGATCCCATCAGCATAGGTCATTCAAAATGTAAAGGAGAATATGCTGTTCTCCCACCAACTAAGCAATCCCTCCCCAAACCTAGACTGGATAACTTTGTGAGCAGGGTGCCTGAAGGCTCAGTGAGGAAGTTGATGTTGGCCGGTTTATGGAGCAGTAGTGAGGTACATTAGCATTGGCAAAGATTAGTCTTGCAAAAGAAATAATTAAGGTACACATGCCATTACCAAGTCGCAGAAACTTTACAATTAAATTACTGAAAAAGATGGCAAAAAATTCCTCGTCTTTCTGCAATCTAAAAAAAATCTTTTTTCATGATTAGCTTACTGGTAGTATAATATAATGCCAATAATTGAATATAATTTCTTCTCACCATTGTTCATTTGTTTTATGTTAAATTTCAGAAGTCAGTAAACCTTGTAGGTGCTCATCCAGAACACAAATTGAATGTGCTCCAACCACATGTAAGTTGAGAATAAAAACCATGTGCAGATGCAACCTTCACTGGGAGACACCACCCAAATGGGCTGTACGTCAATGGAACTTCAAAAATAAACTCCATCATTTTAAACAAAATAGTACACTGAAAAATGGTTATTATGACCTCCATTAATATGTAGACATACATTTTTAGGATTTATCATTCATTCCTGTAAATTAGATATACTCACATTTATAAAAACTAACGTAATAAGATTTGCCTTGTGTAGTAAGGTATTCGGGTTCTTATTTCATTAGTTCCATCTATTTTAGCCACTGCAGAACATCCGTAACAAGGTGTCAGAACAGATACAAACTTGGGATTTTGAAAGTAAAGAGTTCCAAGAAATGCAGCTAAGTTTCACATCGGTTGTCTGTGGATGAAATAATCCAAATAGAAAGTGAAACACGGAGCCAGGCAAACAGTAAGAACTGGTACAAACATAGAAAAGGTAAAATCATCAGGTGAATCTTTCAACAGATGGCTAAAACTACTTATATAAAGATACTTAATTTACTTCATGACATTATTTGATGATAATAACACATTAATATTAAAAGGATGCATGGTACTCAGATAAGTAATGTTTGAATTGTACAGTTTAAGTTATATACTGTAATTTTAATGAACGGTTTGCACCTTTAATAACTCAAGGCCAGGATTTGGCATGTTAATTGTTTTTTAGGATAAGTGGAAATTTAATGTAGTATGTTTATAACCAGTAATTCCTTTAGGAAGTAAGAAATCAGAAGACAGTGTAGCTGAATCGAACACAGCTGATAAGATGAATGAAACAAATGGTGAGAAATTCAGTTCAAAGTTCATATTAATTAATGGCGATTGCCTCTTTGTGTACGTTGTACCGTGTCACTAAGTACACCCCCAACTTACGAAATATAGCTTGGGAATGAAAAACGGTTATCAATTTTACTGCAATTTTTATCACCTCACATGTAGGGTTAGATGTTCCCTAACCACTGTCTTAATTAAAATGTCCAGGCCCCTCCTAATAAATCACATTACCACATAGATCAAAGCTCAAGCATATCCAGGCTAATTATAAAACTTGAACATTGACTGCTGAAAACCAGATGCTGTAGGGATAATAGTAGAAGCCATTTAGAAACACGTAGAACTTTATCATGGAAAGACTCAGGAAATAATATATCATTTGTGTATACCCCGTGATAAAAGGTATAAAGTAAACTCTTCAAGCCGATAAATGTCAATTACATTTTTGGACATTGGCTTCCCAGCCAGGTGGGTTGCCAGAGTGGGCACTTTAATTCAATTACACATGTGATAGGGAAGACTTCCAGACTGAGCACTAAATGGCTTCTACTACTGGACAATAGGTTGATAACTTAAACTGATTGATCAAGGTGAATAATATAGTTACAAGGCAGAGGACCATTCCTAAATACATTTGAGGTGAATGTATTTGTTAATCAAATATATTGCTTCTTGTTTAATTGAGTTACCTAGTGTGACTCTAAACAGACTTCTTCAAACTTGACCTGTAAACTGATTATATAAGTATACATCCTGAAAACATTTAACCTGCACATCTATATAATTCAGGACACATAATGTTATATAACAACCTTATAAACTTCTGGAAATTAGATTGAACTAAATTGAGTTGCTCATATTTATAGTTGCTATTTCAATGAAAAGTTCAGAAAACTGAAAATTCATTTAAGGCATTAAATTACAAGTATGACAGCTATATGGCAAAAGCACTGCAGACCACTCGTCACAACAACTGCAATGAACACGAGAATGCCCATTAGACGTATCTTTCTTAACTAAGAAATGACGGAAAGAAAGGGGGGAGGGGGTGAGGGTTAGAGGAGTGGAGGGGGTGGTAGACTGGCTTCAACATGGCTGTGTTAGTATGAGATTATCAACTGTCAATCATTTCATAATCACGTTCATAATACAGATTGGCTGAGACTAAGGGAAGAGGGGGTATAAATACCACGTTTCAAACAATGCTCTGGTATCCTTCCAAATACACCATGGAGGCTATTTGGGAGGAAAATGCAGCAACGCTTGAGGAGTTGTGCGAGGAGCAAATTTACACAAGTATAAATACGGAAAATGTCATTGACTTAATGTCAATGGCAAATAGGATGGGATGCTGCATCATGCACGTCCCTTAGGGCGTGCTGCATAAACTTTTGCGTGCAGAATTACGCACGCATCAGCATGAAAACATTAAAAACATTAATGGGGGAGCCAATGCTGTGCAAGCTGGTCATGGACCAGTTTGCATACACCATTTGTGACCTACATGAAGAGGTAAGTTAACAATTAATTTAACTAATCATATACATGTATATATATATATATATATATATTTGTAAATAATGTAAACATTACTACATCACTAAATGTTAACAGAAGTACAGCGCTAAAATAAATATATATATATAAGCGTTATATGCTGATGGAATTGTAATGAGTAATTAAATGCTTTTTTTTTTTTTTTTTTTCTAAAAGTTGGAGCAATATACAGGTCTTCCCAAAGAGGACGAAGAAAAAGAAGATGAGGAAGAGGAACAACTAGAACAGCAGGATTAAAACTGGTAAACACTAAAAATGTACTTGATCGAGGGGGAATACTGGACTTAAATTAGAAAAATAAGTAATGGAAATAAAATGTGTACACGTGTTCTTTTGTTGTCGGTAAGAAGCATGTAATATAATTGATTTGTTTGTTTATTTTAATTACAGGCCTGACGATTAACAGCAGAAGAATGACCATAACATCAGATGATCTGACCATGCCTGACGATTAGCAAAGAAGAAGAAAGACCCTTAAATAGGATGATCAGACCATGTCACATTCTTCCTCGATTTTTGTATGTAACTATATAGAAAATAGAAAATTAAACCTTTTGTGAAAATAAACGGTGTTATTGTTGATTAGTTTTTACAATACAAGAAAGTATGCGATGAAGATGTTGACTTTTCGCCATGGGAAATAATATATCGTTTGTGTATAACACGTGATAAAAGTTATAAAGTAAACCCGTCAAGCCGATAAATGCCAATTACATTTTTGGACATGTACGATACACATCTAAAACACCCTTTCACTGCTCTTTTAGCAGGGCCCACTGGTTCAGGAAAAACAGTATGGATTAAAAGGCTATTATCAAATGCCAATACAATGATTTTACCGTCGCCACAAAAGATAATATATTGTTACGATATTTGGCAGCAGTTCTATGAGACTTTCAATAGCGTGTGATTGTGCTAACTGCACAATCTTTTGTGAAGAGATTACGTTAAGAGACTGGCATTGAAATTATAAGAGGCTGGTGTTGATTCTGTGAACAGGGAGGACAATATAAGGCCAGGGCATATGAATAATCAACAGCATTTTCTCACGGTTGTTACCCTACATTTTCCCGCGAACAACACAATGGTATACGTAATTTTATGTGACGTGGGATATTTTTATTGGTCAGAAGTTTTATTTCATTATTCTAAATATTAATCATCGTGGCTTCGGCGTCATTTGGGCATTAGCGTCGGTTGGGTGATGTCGCAGCAATGG